GAGCTCCTGGGCCCCAATCCTGCACCAGCTGTCAAGGTCCTGAAGGCACCAAGAGGCATTACTCGCCCCGAGCAGCCTCACGTGAGACCCGCACCCAGTCCCAGCCCACGGCCCAGGGCACCCAGTCCTTGCCTGGGGTGCGTCGCTGGAGGTACGCCCGTTTCCCGGACGAGCTTGTCTCCAGCCCTATGTCCGACCCCACTATTTCCCCAAAGACAAAATCCATTAAGATATGGTAAATGTTTACCACCTATTGATATATATTGTTAATTTGAATGGATACACACAGCTCCAGCCATGCATTTTCCTATAGCAAACAGTATTTGATATCAGTGATAAGCTGCATTTTTCATCCGCTGCTTACTAGCCTCACCAAAACAAGGCACACTTGCTTCTTTAGCAGATAACTTCCGCCTTTCCTTTGAAAAAAACATCAACTTCCCCAGCTTGAAAACCTGGATGTGCCTAATGATGCTCAGGAGGTGGGCACCGGGGTGTACCGAGAGCTCAGGCACACGCCGAGCCTTCGGAGCCCGGCAATGGTCACTCTTAGTGGTCTGCTGCAATCTGCTCCTCTCAAACTCAACACGGTGCTGAGAGACATCCCGATGTCTTTTGCGGCCTCCATCCACTTGCATAGCCATTTGGGAGGTGCGGGTCCATGGCTAGATTTCAAAAGCGCAAGTGTGACAGAATAGGAATAACAGTAATGATGTTAATCTCCAGTTCTCTGCAAAAAATACCTTCTTCCTCGAAATCAAAACATCTGCTGTTACAGCTAAGCAGCTACCTGCTCCCTTCTTCTTTTGTGAACCTGACACCGAGGAAAACCCTGCGCCTTGCATTCCCTCCACACCGTCCACTTCTCAGCCCTCAAGGCAACAAGTTGGAGAGGACAGTCCATCCTACCGGCGTTCCTGAGCATAGCCTTTTGGTGCGGGTTTTTCAGTATTTCGCCTCCATGGCTGTATCAAGACATCCTAAACCTCCAGAAGACTTGTTTTATCAACCCAGTTCATTTTTTACTTATCTCTTGTGACTGAGCCTGAAATAGCTTCCCGTTGCAACCTCTTACCATGAGCACGCCCAGCCACATCCAGGCTGCTAACTCAGGGCCTCTATACAGCTCCACCGCTATTTTTTGCCATGTGGTGACGCTTTGAGCCAAGCATAGCCCCACAGTCTTGGCTCAGATGTCGCGAACTCTGCACTGAAGGCAGCAAGGTAGACATGGGAAACTCAAGTCAGCTGGACATCCCGACACCCGCATCCCAGCTGCATCAGTTTCTAGCCAGGCAAGGACTATAACAAAACGCAGGCTTGGGGACTTTACAAACGCACTGTTCCTCAGTGAATTACAGTCTAGTCATGCCTAAATTAAATGAAGGCCAGCACACACTGCAGGGCAGGAATGCAGGAAAAACAGTGGACAACATTAAAAGAATCATGAGCGCTGGGAGATGGGGAAAGCCTCAGAAGCAACGTCCACACATCTTATCATGTGGAGATCGGAGTTACGGACAAGCTGGAGGGCCTTTGAGATCAGGGCCTCAAAGCAGCGGGTGCAAGTGCAAGTTTTCGATGCTGGGAGAAGAAATATTGCCTGCACAATAGATGTGAAATAGATGACAGAAAATCCAGCCAGACCTATGGTGGGAAAAATGGGGGTGAGGTGGCAAGAGTTGGGGCGCTAGGAGCTGGAAATCAGTGCGACCTGGAAGCAGTACGTGTCCACGGTGGCAGACTGGTGTACTCTTCATTTGAAGACAGATGAGGAAATTTCTGGTGTGTTTCTATTCCCTTCCTCCTGATTGACAGTGGTATAACGAGGCAAAAACCACACAGGTACCAAGCAGTGATAAGCAAGCAGAAACGAGGCCGGAAATGTTTTGCACTAATCCGTAACTAGAAGTTGCCTTTAGGAAACATCTGAAATGGTTGTGCAGGTCTTTGGAGGGAAGAATGGGTGTGCTTTTCATTAGACAGTGCATTACATCAGGCAAGTATGGGGTTATGCCTTAAATTCCTGGTAGGATAAATGAGAATACAATCAGGCAGGAGGTGAAAAAACAGGGTAATGGTCAGCTACTCTGGGGAGTAGTAGATGAAAGAGGAGCTTGAGCTGAAAGAGCTCATATCTGCGAGTCAGAAGAAGAAAATAGTTATACGTCTACAAGAGGGATGCGCTAATACAGACACAATATTCCAGGCTGATGCCCAGGAGATTCACGGAAAAGAGGATGGGACGGTACAGCAGATGGATAACTGCTGCCGATGGTAATACGGGAATTGGGATAGCAAGAACAGATTTGCCTGGGATGTTAGCAAGCAACAGGGGACTGCGAGAACTGTGAAGGCAATCAAGGTGAAAAAATGGCTTAAATGGAGGAGGAGCCCAGGTGGAGGATGTCCCTCTTCTTTCCACTTCCATGACAGAAGCGTGGTGAGTCAGCGCGGGCCCAGGACACGGAGAGGGGGCGTCGAGCCAGGAGCTGGAAGACGGGGGAACTGGGGAGAAGAGATCATCTTCTTATGGTTTTTGAAAGGCGCTTGCTGTCTGAAGGCTCAGGGAAAAAAAACAGCGCGCAAAGCAATGTTTAATATGCATACTTTGAGAGAAAAGGTGTCTAGTATTTAGCTGAAGCGTTGCCAGAATGGAAGTCATGTCCTTAACCACCAGACTGACGTGTTAGTCGATGAGTGTCTCTGGTAAGCGGGCAACCATTAACGAATTTACAAAGTGGCTGGGACGGCTGAAGAGGGACTTCTGAAAGGGTACGCGAGCCTCTTGTGTCAACCGCGGGCAGGCAGAGATGCTAAACATACAATTCCAGGCTTGTAGTTTACTCCCCTGAGCTTTTCCTGTGCATTTGTAAATAAAACATTAATGAAATGGCTCCTTTAAAGCTTGATATATAGTAAAGTATTAAGAGGAAGACAAGAACTGTGAAAATCGCATTGCCCCACTGGTCTATTCGGACGGCAACTATCTCTGGAGAGTCTGAAGAAACAACTTACGCTTTATGCAAAGCCCTAAGACCACGATTGTGTCTTTTCAGCTGGAATAAACAGGATAAAGTGTGAAATATCTGGAGCGCCATGCAGCTGGATCCCTGTTGATGCCCGCTATATTTTCCTAGCCTAAGTGACCACCTGCTGCTTCGGAGGCGCTAACTCCCAAAGAAATTTTAGCCTCCATTTTGCAGATACTTCTGTCCATTGGAAAAGCAAGTAACAAATATTGTATCTGCTGGTGTGAAAAAGAGTGTGTGTGTGTGTGTGGGGGGGGGGGGGGGGTGGTGTGCCTACAATAGCTCCAGTTATTCAAGCCACCAAAGCGTCCCACCTAAAAGCATCGGTGCAACCTTTCTTCCACTGACGAGCCTGGAAGATCCTGTTTGCTGAGGCAGTTCCCTTGGTGTTGCAGAGCGAGACAACTTCTGTGCTAGCTAAAGGACCGTATGCATGACGTTTCCCGATGTGCATTTCATGTATGACATACGTTTTTGTTTGCCCGAGTGATGGACGGCAGAGGGGAACAGGAGTCCCTGCTGTAACCTCTGTGCGATAAGCAGTCCTCCTCTAAATCAGCCCGGGAAAAGCTTGGTTGTATCTCTCCTGTCTTTGATGCAAAGATGGAGAGAGATGCAAGGGCAATGCACATGGATAAATCAATTTGAATGGAGGCATTTGCAGGAACGGCATCCTATAGACTTCTTTATCAACAAACCTTCAGGGCAAAAAGAAATTATCAATGCATGAAAGCCATCAGAGCAGGCTGTGGGATAAGAGTGCACCGCCACCTCAACTACCCTGCTTTCCCCTTCGCGCTGATTTGAGCAACACGTATAACGACTGGGAGAGCTGAATCCAATGTCCTTAGTTGCCCAGCACTCAGCGTTACTAACCGTGGATTCAAAGCCCTTCAAGCCTGTCCTCAGATTGCTAGTCATGCCGAAAGACTCGATAACATCAGTGGGAAATCTGTCCGAGTAAAGACTGGATAAGAACCAAAGTCCCAACTCACTTCTCGCTTGAGTTTTGTGGTCAGACACCTCCCCCCTCCCCCAAGACTGGAAATACCTTTGCTTTTCACCAACGTAGGGGAAGACCTGGGCTCGCTAATCCAAACCCCGGCCCCTCTTGATGCCAGCAGAGATTGGGTAGAGGCAGGACACAGGACTCGGCCCCTAGTTTCTGAAGGTAAGCCATCAAGTAATTGCACTAGAGGTGAAAGAAACCAATCCCTGAGGCTTTGAATTTTTTTTTTTTTCTGGTATTCCCTCACAGTCAATTTCCCGTAAACCATTCAAAAGGATTAAAAAAAAAAAAAAAGAAAGAAAGAAAAAAGCCATTCAGCTTCCCTCCTGTGCCAGGCACCCCATTTTGTTCGGCATGGCTCTATTGCTGCACGTTTCTCATAGCCTCTCCTCCGCAGACGTCTATCGAGCTCATACGAGCCGGGCGCTCCGACTAGACGTCTATTAACATCAGCGGAGACGATTTTGCTCAGACCAGCGCACGGTTTTTCTCTGTTCGGCTGTTCATTTTTTGCCTCCACAAAGTGGATAAAATTGCTATACACCCAGGACAATGACAAATTCTATGAGGCTTAACGCAGACCACGCAGCGCCGCAACGGCCCATTTTCGCTGGCAGCAACGAGGCCTGACACCCCGCTCGCTCACGGCACCAGCGGCGCGCGGCGGGGAGGCGGAAGTCCCTTCCCAGCTT